AACACTCATGTTTTGTCACCTTGGACTCTGTCAAAAAATAAATTGTTTTTCCAAGAAAAAAAAAAATCAATTCGCGTCTGTCCTACCAAAAAAAAAACCAATAGGATAAATAATTAGTGCGTACGCGTCGATCAATCATATACTTCAAATTTATCATGCCACGTAACAACAAAGCAACTGATAATAAGAGAAAACAAACAACTGAAGCAGAAGAAATCTGCGGGTAAGTGTTTTAAGAATAAGGATGGTGGTGGTTATCGCCTGCCACTCGTCGTCACTCTAGTTAAAACCTTTAACCTTATATTTATTAAACATTACAACGAACAATCACATTGATGATGGTAAATCTACTTCTGTAAGTAAATTGCATTTCTTTAAATGGATAGAATTGATTATTTTGAAAATAATGTATGATCAAAGCTTACAAAATGCGTCAAACTTACTTTTTTCACAAATCAAGTTATTTGGGAGTAAGATCCCTAAAAGAAAACTTGGTGGTTTATATAATTTGCAACATTTTTGATATCATTGATTCAGTTGATTTTATACATATTAGAAATTATGAAAATAATAATTATAGATTAATCATATCACTTATTATAGTATTTTATATTTATATTTTTCTTTGATGGTTAAAGACCAAAGTATTTTAGGTCAGGTAAATCAGGATGTTGATAATGATAATTTAATAAATGATATGCCTAATTTTGGATATGGAGTCGATCAAGTAAGTTTTTTAAATTCCATAAATGTGGTGAGATTTAAACTAATTAATATTATTTATAATATTTAGGATATTGATAATTTACACCATATTGCTGACAAGGATATATATATAATCATGCAATAATTTTACCCTACAGGACAGAGAACTGATTGAGCAAAAACCCAATCCAGTCCCCTACCCAAAATTATAAAATGGTTAGTTAATATCAGAAAAACAGAGCATTTATGAAAATAATGATTATACAAAACAAACACTATTTTACAACTTTCCTCTTAACATCAGAGTCCAAATGCAATTTCAGGCCACCAACCCTGCTCTGAATTGCAACCTCCTGTGCTGGAAACGAGTTGCAGGTTCTCGTTGCTTTGATGGATCTGGATATTTACATGGCACTAATATTCATCAGCAGAGTTACGACTTGGTCACAGTGTCATCCTTACCCTAGAGGCGGGATCGTTGCAGTCGACTTTTCGGCTAGCGTGCCAGCAGCCATCTCTGGTGAGGAAGATTAGTGAAAGTGTCATTGACGATTGATGCAGTCTCGGTAAACTCCAGGGCCTTTCCCCCCCCCCTGGAATTCAACATCATTGTATCATCGGGAGCACCGTAGTCAGATTAGCCTTATGTACACGAGGAATACGTGAGAATGACTGTAATGTGCTCAAGGCAACGTGCATGCTTCAACGCCTGCCAATTTCCTGTAATCAAATGTTGCATACTCAAAATGTTTCATATTCAATGGTGTGCTGCCTTGACATCTTCTTGTGATTATAATATAATATTTATAATAATACTATTATTAATATTATTGATTACGAAAAGCAAAATATTATCAATGAAAATCTTGTAAATGCCCAGCAAGATCTGCTCCACGTTTTGATTTCCAATTTAAAATGTTTATAAACCAAAATAAAAATATCAATCAATACAAGTAAAAAAAGGTACCTCTGGTTAGTTATTAACACGTTTTCTTTAGGAGACCCAAACCAAACCAAACAACAACACTCACGTTTTGTCACCTTGGACTCTGTCAAAAAATAAATTGTTTTTCCAAGAAAAAAAAAAATCAATTCGCGTCTGTCCTACCAAAAAAAAAACCAATAGGATAAATAATTAGTGCGTACGCGTCGATCAATCATATACTTCAAATTTATCATGCCACGTAACAACAAAGCAACTGATAATAAGAGAAAACAAACAACTGAAGCAGAAGAAATCTGCGGGTAAGTGTTTTAAGAATAAGGATGGTGGTGGTTATCGCCTGCCACTCGTCGTCACTCTAGTTAAAACCTTTAACCTTATATTTATTAAACATTACAACGAACAATCACATTGATGATGGTAAATCTACTTCTGTAAGTAAATTGCATTTCTTTAAATGGATAGAATTGATTATTTTGAAAATAATGTATGATCAAAGCTTACAAAATGCGTCAAACTTACTTTTTTCACAAATCAAGTTATTTGGGAGTAAGATCCCTAAAAGAAAACTTGGTGGTTTATATAATTTGCAACATTTTTGATATCATTGATTCAGTTGATTTTATACATATTAGAAATTATGAAAATAATAATTATAGATTAATCATATCACTTATTATAGTATTTTATATTTATATTTTTCTTTGATGGTTAAAGACCAAAGTATTTTAGGTCAGGTAAATCAGGATGTTGATAATGATAATTTAATAAATGATATGCCTAATTTTGGATATGGAGTCGATCAAGTAAGTTTTTTAAATTCCATAAATGTGGTGAGATTTAAACTAATTAATATTATTTATAATATTTAGGATATTGATAATTTACATGATGATCTTGTTAAGATTTACAATCAAGTAGAGGAAAGGTATTCTATTAAAATTTCATAATAATTAATATCTTTAAAAAATTATTCTGATAAAATTATATGTTTATTACTACTTAGTAACTTGATTAAATTTGGTATAATTGATTTGGATGATAATACAATGTCACAATTAAAACCATATATAATTATCAAAGAAAAATACGAAAAAAATTTTGAATTTGAAATATTTAATGATGAAATCATTAAAAAGATGCTTAGTGACATTAAAATGATTAGCAATAAAGATTCTGTTACTAAATTTATTCAAAGTTATAATCACTTAGAAACTTTTGATAATTTTGAAATATCAGCAAGAATAAAACATTTTATTTTGTGGACTGTAAAGATTTTGTAAGTATTTTTATTTTAGTTGGAATGTTTTGTAAAAAAATGATAATTTTTTTTAACAAAGTTATATATCATTGTTTATATTGAATTTTAAGGTGGAACGTTTTTGCAAAAAATGATTCATATTTGGACAAAGCTCATTCTGAAATGCACATTTCTACAATGTTACATGCTCCTGTCTTAGAATGTCTTTTTGGATGTAAAGAGTATATTTTTGATATTAACAGGTAGTATCTTTGATATGCAATAAAATAAATTGAATTTTCAACAATAATTTTAATTTATATTTAATAAATAGTCCTAGTGATGCCAATAAAATAAGAAGAAATGAAATTAAGAAAAAAAGAGTTAGGCTTGCTCAAATTCCTGATGCTAAATTGACATATGGAATCAAGGATGTTGAAGTATTAGTTGTGGAAAAAGCAAAAGATCCAATACATAAAGATATAAAAAAAGCTTCTGGAGATCAGAACAAGTTGAGCATGCTAATGCATGATCAACATACTTGCTTTTATTCAATATTGTATGAGAATTATCTTGAAGAGGAAATGAATAAGATTAATGTTTTTGGATTGCGAATATCAAGTAAGATATTTAAAATGAAATTTCTTTATTAAATTATTTATTACTTATTAATAATAATATTGAATATTCTTGTATAAAAATCAAATAGAGTTGCAACTAACAGGGTATATAATGCATGTACCAGCCCCTGGTCTATATGTTAAATCAAGATTATTTTCTGTAAATTTTCCAAAGAGACTGTCTGATATGTCTTCCCTAAGAGAGTGTTTGATCAACTTAATTAAATTTAGGGTAAATGTTTTATCAAATCAATTTATCATCATTATTTATAAATACTAATTTTGTACATTTATTCAGTTGATGTTGGACAAGTCCTATAATGATTTTCTAATGGTTCTTGAAAAAGATGATGGATTTAGAACACCAAGAAGATTAGGTAACCCTTGGATTGTGAAATTTAATAAATCACCACCTACTATTTTAAAGGAAGAAAAGGAAAACTCTAAATGAATTACAATTTTTAATTTTACGGAATAATTGCTATCTATGAACTTATTTAAATCTAATTTTATTTCAATTACTTTTAATATTAATTTTACTATTGTGAGATCAAAAATTCCATCTCACACAAATCTATTGATTTGGTTATAATATTATTTATCCCTTCCTATGGCAATATCCAGTTGCGTAATTCTTTGATTACTTTCTTTGCTTTATAGCGTACAAGCTATTTAACTCTCTGCAGGGTAAGTTTTCTTACTTCCCGTCCGGTAACATTTTCTCAGCAGTTGCTATGTTTTCTGCCTGAGCCGGAACGTGTCAATTATTATCCCTTCTGATAATAATCCCAGTATCTTCCCTGATACTGTTGTGTTATGTTCTGATGGTTCAGTGTTTCTTTACTGACCACACCTAGCTAGGGTTTCCACTTATTTAGGCGTTGGCCTAATCTAAAATAAAAATAAAGAAAATAAGATTAAAAGAGAATTCACACACTATACTTATCAAAGGCGTCCCCCTGGTAAGATAGTAATTAATTAATAATTAGGTCGAGTTAGAGGTTTATATGTTTTTAGGAAGCGGGTGATAATTCCACTGGCAATAGATTATTTTAATAGATATTTATGGTTGTATTTTATTAATAAGATATTATTGTTATTACAAGATAGTAGTTAAGAATGAATTAACTGATTAACTTCTAACTGATTATTTTTTTTACATGAAAGAGAAATTTATAACATATTTATACATGTTAAAAGGTTCTATCATCTAGTTATCCGACTTTGTTGAAATCCTAATTTATATTAATTAATATTTCCTTAATTATTATTTATACCTTCTCTTTAGAACTATTTTCAAGTAATTTCTAGTCATCATGAGTCATGTAAAATTCTTTCATTTAAATATTTTTCTGAGACTTTGTAATCTGTTACACTTTAGAATGTTGGAATATTTATATCTCCAATATTTGGGTTATTTTCCGAGAGCTATTTATTTGATTGGTGCGCCTTATTAATTAGTGTAACATTTATTAAATTGTACTGGTTTATTTCTTGTTGAGTTATTCCGTGATAATCGTTTCCAAATTTTCACCTCGTGATACATGTAAATCATTTCCGATTTATATGTTCGTTTCCCGTGATTTATATTTTACTATTTTACACTATGCTTAAAGAATTACACAGTGAGTCTCGGTATAGCGGACCTCGGTATAGCGGATGTCTAATAAAACTCTCGGTTTAACAGATAAAAGCTCAGAACCGTCTATAAGTAAATTCTCTCGGTTTAATGGATTTACTAATTAAATCTTGAATTAATCTCGGTATAACGGATTTTTGAAATTTTGTTCTAATTGCCCAAATTATCCGCTATACCGAGACTCACTGTGTACTATTGAATGAATCTCATATGGAAAATAATAAATTTAACTTGATAAATCAATATAAGGCCATTCAAAATTAATTCTTTGTCATTCCTCCTAAATTTTCAAAATTCCAAGAATAAACATTTATAAAACACATGACTGTGACTCATGTAACAAATCAATTTTACATACGGGCTGAAATAATGTCCTGTATAAGGAAAGGATTTTAATAATTGATTTTAATTTTTTTTATATAGTTTAAAATACTTTTTACAAGGGTATTACGTAGCCCATCTTGTAATAAATCATGTGTAAATAATTACACAAACTTGAGGCTTTACACTTGTATTGTTATTATATCTTTTGAATCCCTTTGAATCCCACAACTTTCATAATATGATTTACTCAAAGAAAAATTGCTTGAAATTAAACATTGCACAGAATGTAAAACCACTGAATCAGCTAAATTTCATCA